TTAGGAGGATATCTTCAAACAATTGCCAACAAAGATATAGTTTGTTTTCTCAGGATGTAACTGGAATGTACACTGCCCTAAATGTTGTGGGACCATCTTCTCGATACTTGATGGCAGATGTGACTGAAATGTCCATGAGTACCACCGATTTTCCCACATTCCGATGTCAGGTGTGTGGTCATAGAATTCTTAGAAAAGCTGTGCAACGTTTACTCTCCATCTCGAATGCAGTGTCGCCAGCTCGTGCTCGCGCGCATCTCAGAAATGCAAATGCACTGAGAATAATACGTAAACTGCCACTTTACGTATCCTCAGAGCAATTGCCCGCCAACCCTTCACAGCTTAGGCAGGGGCGCGGCGCAGGGTTGAAACGAGGCGGCGCGTGCGATGCGAGCCGCAAGAGCAGGCGACATCACGGTGAGACGGAGAGTATGCAAAAAATCTCAAAAGTTCCAAAAATCAAGTTCCAAAAATCCAGTTTTTGATCGGTCAGTCTGGTTCAGGAGATCAACATCGGCATGGCAACAGGCATACGAGCAATCAGTGTTACCCATTGTGGAGAACTTGGATGGGTTGTATATATCCCGAATGAGGTAATTCAGTTATTTGTTCTCGATTTTATTACTTGCACAAATTTAGGTGGCACAAAATGTTTATGAGCGGATTGTTGAAGCGGGACGAGAGTACAGTCTGCATCATGCCGGTTACTATACTCTGCGACAACTTCGGATTGAGAAGTTTTACGTGTACTGGGGTCAAGATATTGATGCCACGGTCACCCCAGTGGAGTGCGGAAGGTCGTTCCGAGTCGACTTCAAGGTGCGTCCATTCAGTTACTCTGCACGTTCAAAACATATGAAGGCCGCATACATTTTTCATCGCACGGCTAATGTCAATCAGTTTTTTTTTCTCGTATTGCGAAGCGTGGAGAATAGATTGTGCCCAAGTGGCATCTCAGTGTTTTAGAATGGCAATTGGTGCCTGTTTTTGTTATATTAACGTATTTCAAGAATGAGGGTGGTCGACGCAGTTTTACAGTATTTCGTATCAGTTTGGGTTGTAGGTCGATTGAATGATGGAAATTTTGGTCCATTTGAGCAGTTACATTTTATGGCATTCCTAGATTTGTTCGGTAAATTGGGGGAACAGTGGCGGTAATAGCACTGAAGTTGTCAAACGCTCCTAGCGAACAACATAAAACATATTCATTTCCATCCAAAAACATTGATTTATAGTGCAGTTTACCGTATCTGGAATTTTGTATTTGAAAGCATATGAACTGGAAATATTTTGTATTGTTGTTGATCATTCAGCCTGGATCCCAGACTGATCATACTTTACTTAGTAACTAACTTATAAAACCTTTTTTGCTATTTTTTTTGTTTATTAACCCCTATCAAACAGCTTCATGGGCTGAATCATCGCCTAATCTAAAGTATTTCATCTTTTGTTTCTATTTTGTTGTTTTAGGCTAACTTTTATTTGACTAGTTTGCATGACATATTGATTGTCGTAGCCGTGCGGTGAAAGTGTATATAGCGATTTTTTTGCATGCATAAGACCTTTTTTGATTAAATGCTTAAAGCAGCGCCTCGGCACAATTTCGTTTTCCAATTTTTCACCTTTTCGGGACCTTCTCACCATGAGGAACCCA